GCTGTGCTTTAACCCTCTGCGCCACCAGGGAGGGCCTCAGCAGTGTATTTATTTCAGTAGATCCACCTGTTCTGCTCCCCACTCTGTCTCAGGTGAATCCTCTCACCCCCTACACCTCTGGCTTACACCCCAGTTCTTAAAATAAATGTATGCATAAAATAAATAAAAATATGAGAAAAAATTCACACCTCTGTGAAGTATTATGATCTCTAGTTTTATAGACAATACTATGAAGAGTTTTATCTTCATAAATTGTCACTTTTTAGCTGACATTCATTGTCAGCTAAAAAGTGGCAGAGCCAAGGGTAGCATCCAGGGCTGCCTGAGTTTAAAAACTGGCACATTAAGCAGGGCTAAACAGCCCAAGTGTACACGGTTCTCAAATTGATAATTACGTCTGGAGATTTAAATATACTGTGGGAGCCAAACACAACTGTGGGCTTGGATTATGCCCACAGCCCCCAGGCGGCATCTTCTGAGCGAAGTTGTGCTGCTCATCTTCTGGTTGTTTCTGAGTATGCAAGGGATGTGTGTGCTCCAGAGCACCTCAGTGTTGGCTCTGGGTTGACAGCAACTGTGTGCTTTCCAAGAGGGTGATTGAGATGCAGGGTGTCCTCCCTATCCCCCCACTCCCCGGCCCCCTCCCCCCCAAGTGTCCCAGAACAGCTGGTAACTACTTAGGGAGAGCCGTTCTTTACTCTCCACTGTGCTGTTCAAGGTGGTGGCCACCTGTCATACATGGTAGCAAGCCCCTGAAACGCCTCAGTCTGAATTGAGATTCTGTTAGTGTGAAATACACAGCAAAATGCAAAGACTTGCTGAGAAAAGAATATAAAACGCCTCTATTTTTTATACTGATTACATGTTGAACTGATATTTTGGATATTTTGGATACACTGGGTCAATAAACTACATCATTCAAAGTCGTTTTATTTGTTCTTTCTCTTTCATCATGTGGCTGCTGATCCTAGATATACCTCCCGATGCACTACTATGGTCCAGAGCCCATGGGGCTCTAACCCAAGGCTGGCTTTTCTCCCTTAGAACCCAGTCCTCAGCTCCATTGGCACCTGTTGTCACGTTTCCCCTTTTCCTTTAGCCCTGAGACCACCCTGGGGAGGAAGGACGTGGTCAGGGAAAAGCAGTGACATCGCTCACTGACCCTGCAGACGGCCTCTACCCCGGGCAGGTTGCAAGCGCGCTCAGTGGCTCTAGCTCCCTGCTGCACATGCGGCTGGCAGCCCTGGGGCCACGGGATGCCTGCAAGGGTCTTTCCGTGTGCACCAGCATGGCACTCCCAGGGAGTGCTGCCCTTCAGCGTCTGTGTCCTGATCCAGAAGCCTCGTTCAAGTGAATGAACTCATAAGTGTGTGTGTCCTGTATTTTCCACATGGAAAAAAATGCACATGTGAAGTTGTAAACTGAAATTTGTGGGTATTAAGCTCTCCATGTTTCTAACTGGGAAGCTGGGCTGGTCAGAAGAAAGTGTTAAGACTATAACCTCCTTCATGACCCACTGTCTTTGGCATGAAGCCCTAAGACTTTCTGGGCCGGAGCCTCTGCCTCTCCCTGCTGAAAAGCCACTCGAATGGAAACCTAATGAATGCAGACTTTATTAAATACTTGAGTTAGAAGTCTTTCACTGCAGCCACTGGAACACTCGTGTGGATGAACTGGGAGAGGAGGACGGAGAGGCGGCCGTGCCTTTTTCTGCCCCCTCTCCTGGGAGTAGGCGAGCCTCTGCACATGGGGAGGAACTAGAGACCATCTGGCCTGGAGGAGAGGTGGCTATATTTAGTCCGAAGCGAGTCCTCAGCAGACCTGGAGTCCGCCCGGCAGAGCTATGTGGGATGGTTGGAGGGAATGTTGCTGGTGGCTTGTGGCGCCTGCACAGGTATTTGGGGGGCCCCAGAGGCCATCAGTGACAGCCTCACTCACCGGGTGCTCCCTGGCCTCTAGTTTACAGTAAGATTTTGCTTGAATAAGGGGCCTGGATATCACAGATGATGTTTCACAGACCAAAGAGTCAGAAAGATGGTGACTTAAGGCTGAGCTGGCACATGCAGTGACATGGCACTGAGTGGCAGTACAGGGACTAACCTCTCAACATTAGCTCTATTAAGCATACACTTTGCTATGTTGTGACAGACACGTACATCTCTGTTATCACCAGCTCAATTAAGATGTACAGATTTCCATTACTCCAGAAAGTTCTCCTCTGCTTCCTTACTGACACCTCCTGGGCCTGCCTCAGGCTACCATCTCATTTCCAGGGCTGGAGATTACTTTTTTCATGAATCTCGTCTCCTAACTTGCAGTGGTGTCTTGACAATGCCTCCTTTCATTCCCTGTCTGATTTTAAATATCGGGGTGTTTCTGCATGGAGGAGGGAGAAAACCCTGGCTACGTGTTTCAGGGACCAATAGCAGGAAATACAAATGATTCTGCACTGGACTATGATGATGGCACATGGATGATGTGGTGATGGGAAACCCAAGGGGATTGCAACTGAGATGGAAAAATGCACAAAAATATGTAAAATCAAGCTATTATAAAGTAAAAAAAGAATGATTCTGACTTCTGGAGGCAGGTGCTGTTCCTTAGATCCTGTTTCCAAATACCTGAACAGTGTCCAGCACCTCGGAGCTCCTAGTGGGTGTCCTGAACTGGACTGGCCCCCCAGTCCAGTGGCTTCCGTCAGGCAAGCTGCCTTGTTCCTCCTGGATGAAGATATGCTGGTGGCAGTGCCCATCACTACAGGGCACAGGTGGCTGTGAGTTCTCTGGCCCTGAGAGCACGCCTTGAGGGCCGAGCCTTGCCGGGTTCCCGGCCAGCTCGATGGCTGTGGAGGGCAGACGGTGCATTCTAACGTGACGCGGGGCGTGCT